ATAGGGCAATTAAGTATATCTTATATGTGAGTAGCAGTCAAGTTACATTTTCTTATGACTTGACCAAGTGTGTTTTGAAGCTATAACTCCAATGGAAGCTACTTTTGTTCTATAGTTGCTACTTTGTATGAGATGCTTTTTTTTTTTTCATGTAATTCTCGAATCCAGTTTGTCTAAAAAGCTTAATTATGAACAACAGAGCAAGTAGTGGAACCTTCCTTAGTTTCTGGCTTCGTGTTTTTGTTTGGTTTTAAATCCTCAGAATCTTGGTGTGTTCTTGTTTGTTTATTTAGGGTTGATTAATGCAGATGTAGATGAAGCGAGTTGTGGTGGTACGCCTAGTTGGAGAATCAAGAAGAGCCTAACATGTGTGTGCTTTAACCGCAAGAGAGCTTATGAACGCATCTCCTCTAACTTAACACCATTGCAGGTAACACACACATCTAGAAAGCAACAGCTTCATTAATTGGCTTTAATGCAAGCAATTTTTTTCTGAGTCTTAATTGTTTCTTTCAGGAAGAAAGACTGAAGAGGTTGAGGAAGAGAATGAAGAATTACTTTGACGCGTCGCGGCCTGACCATCAGGATGCATTGAGAGCACTGTGGTCAGCAACGTATCCGGGTGAAAAGCTTCAGGCTTTGATCTCAGACCAGTGGAAAGATATGGGATGGCAAGGAAGAGATCCATCCACTGATTTCAGGTTGAAATCCCTCTGTTTCTATCTCGCTCGTGTAATACAACATTTGAAGTAGCTCTTAGTTTGGTTTTTGTTACTGTTTGTTATCAGAGGAGCTGGATTCATATCATTGGAAAATCTTCTATTCTTTGCCAAGACATTCTCGGTGAACTTAACTCTCACCACTTTCTACTTTGAGAACATTCATAACTCTCTTTTATGTAACTTCCCAGTTCCATTGGTGTAGACTTCTTTTCAGCGTCTGTTGAAGAAACAAGGAGGCAAAAGAGCGGCTTGGGAATATCCGTTCGCTGTAGCTGGCGTCAACATCACCTTCATGATAATGCAAATGCTCGACTTAGAAGCCTGTGAGTGTCCTCACTCACTCTCCATTACTCTGTTGCCTTGGTTTGTGAAGCAAAAGCTGTGTTTTTTATTTCTTACTACATGTGCAGCTAAGCCTAGGAGTTTTGTACGGTCGATTTTCTTGCAGATGCTTTCAGGTTAAATTTGGAAACATATCTCTATCTAGTTGAAATCCATTATGGCTCTGAGGCTCTCTGGTCACTTGAGGTTTTGACAAAGTTTTGGAAATGCAGAAAACGAATGGGCCTTTGATTTGCTTTACTGTGTGGCGTTTGCGGTAATGGACAAGCAATGGCTGGACAAGAACGCCACCTACATGGAATTCAACGTGAGTCGATCGTGTTTCCATATGATAATATATATACAATATATGCTTGTATA